GAGCCCCAGCCCGATCCGGCCCGAAAAGGTTTTCAGGATTCTCTGGCCCGACCCGAGCCCGACATTTTTTTTAACCAACTAAATGAAAACAAAGTGCGTCAATCCTGACCAATGTGTTAAAAGACGTGCAGGATCCGATCAATTTGTTTTTCCCTCGTTTACCGTCACGGAGATAACGGCGCACTGGCTCCGGTGGTAATCAAGTTAAATTTTATCTCTTTCCAAAAATTTTCACAAGAAAACAGAACAGTTAAAAGCAGGGCTTGTGTTGTGTTGACCGGATAGTTCCCGTATTTGACCGTTTATTTTGACGGAGAAAGAATAGAAAGAATTACCCCGACGCATGCAGACAAACTGACATTTTATTCATTACACACATCGCAGATGTAGCTGAAAGATTCCCATCTGAACATCTGAGCTGCTCAGCGCAGCTCGCTGTCAGCGCATATGTGCACAGCGAGGCGAGCTGAAGTTGTGTAGAGGGGCTTGGAGCGCGTTGCAGAACCAGAGCGCATGCAGGAAGGTTCCTCCTGAAGCAAGTGTTTTCCAAACCCTGTCTCTCAGAGAGACTTGTCACTTAGAAAATGTTCCCTGATTATGAAACTTTGGCTGAATAGCGCTTGTTCCTGTCTCCAATGTGGCGACACATCCAGGAGCCGTCTGAGGAGAATCCCAGAATCTCACATCCTCTTCAGCTCAGAAAGCGCCGATATGATTACGCACAAGCGTGACGCGTCAACCCGGTCTCACAGTAAAGCCTGGTTTATGCTTCACCGTCAGCTCCGCAAGGGACAGACACGCACGGATCGACGGAAGCGTTTTGCTCTTTTACTTCTCCGTCTCCTGGAGAGTGTTGCAAAGCAATTGCCCGGCAGGACCACAGAGGGCGTAGCGCTGTTCTGTGGTATCCTGTCACGTATCGGTCCAAGATCGTGTGTTTATACTGTGTTTTTTGTGTATATAAGAGACTTTTAACACGGACGTATTTGTCTCTCATTCTCCCACCGCTTCATGCGCTCCCCACCTCTAAACCCACGTTTCCTGTCATTTCCGTCCACAAATAAAACGCTTGCTGCGCATCTTTTCACTCCTCCAGTCACGGGAGAACTAAACGTTCATGTTTTTAGAGTTTTTTCGCGAGGTATTCTTCAAGCTTCTCCGTGTCTGCCGCTAGTTAAACTCGGCTCTCTTTGCAATGGCAGCGCTGTAAACAACAGCGGCGTCCTGACCAATCACAAGCTTGCGTAATCCGTCTTGTTCGACGGAGGTTTAAAAAAGTGGGCTCGACTCCGTACGTACTTGCGTGCCTGCCGGATCCCTACGCAAGGACGGATAATGGCGTTGCGTGTGCTTCGCACTGATGCAGACGGAGAAGCATAAATCAGGCTTAAGACCGGGTTGGGCCTGTTCAGGTTTACGCAGACAATTTTTACATAGAATTGACTTACAGATACGTATAAAATTAATTCAGTAAAATATAAAGCATTTTATTTAAATATCCATTCATTATTTTACAAGCACAGAAAGCCGCATCAGATGGATGGAAGAGCCGCGGGTTGTGATATGTTTTCTCCAGGACCAGAGAGGACGCGAACTCGATACATCTCTTTTATTGTGAGGTAATAATTTCTCTGAGTTTTGCGGTTGCGGGCGGGAGTAGACATGCACACTACGGGTGCGGGCGGGAGTGTAACACACACGTTGCGGTTGCAGGCGGTAATGATCAGAAATTCAACGGGAGCGGACAGGAGCGGGATGAAGAAAACAGTCCCGCGCAGGGCTCTACTGCTGCGTTTGTGTTTCAATTTTTTTTATGAATTCGACTAAAAATAAAGGCGCCCGGCCCGTGTCCGAGGTAATTGCACAGTCGTTGGCCCGAGGGCCTCGGGCTTCAGTGCAGGGCTCTAGTTCTGATTAACATTACATGTCATCCATTCACCGTCTCATCCACTTTAGTTACACCATACATTTAGTGCTTAAAGTCAGTCTAGTTTAATTTGTTTGTAATAAAATTCTTAACTTTTAAACTTGACTCTCTCTCTTCTGTTGTCTCTGAGTGAATACGAAGCGGTTATCTAATCCCTGCAATAAAAAGATCCAATCTTCTGGTTTAAAAGGGCATTAAGGAAGTTTGACAGCCAGAACATGTATAGAAGTAATAAATGTCTTCTTCATACATTCTCCTGCAATGCCCTGGTCCTGTAGAATGAGCCCTGGCGTTTTTACTGTGATTGCCTGTTTTCTGTAAAATCACAGAAAAAGAGAGATGCTCGGGTCGAGCAGGCTGCTTCATGCGCGTTCACGCTCAGGCATCGCCCGTAGCATTTGCTATCCGTAGCTTTAGCAGCAGAGAGAGAGGCAGTGCCACTTTGTCGCTGTTCCTAACGCCTAGTGACAAAGCTAGCTACATTTCTGAGGACCCTTAGCTACTTTCTGTAGAACTTTCTTCTAGATATTTCCTGCAAATTAGCAACAAAACGGCCATTTTCACTCCGAACCGTTCTTTGAACGTTGTTTCAGCTGTCATCAAGGATATAAATGTTACAGATGCGAAAAATGTCACTGGTGATTTAGCTCACCTAATAATACGACGGACTCCCATGCCGAAGATCCGGGTTTGAATCTAGATGTGAACATAGTTTATTAAGAGTTTCTTTTTTACATTAATGGTATATTTTTTTACAGTAAGATGCCCAAATGTTTTTTGAGACTCGCCGAACGGCATTGAATTCACAGATAAAAAAGATGTGGGTTCAACTTTCATTTTGGAACAATTTTTCAAGCAAGGGAAGGGAATGATCTGAGCATGCAGGAGGACTGACCCATCATAAACCTTTGTCGGCTGTGCTGAAGAGAAAGGTACAGAACCAAATTATTTAATTAATTGGCTGCGTGTTCTCCTGTCCTCTGGGCCACACACACACACACACACACGGAGCTGACTGTCTCAGCTGTTATTTTCATTAAGGAGTGTGCACGTACAGCATGCGCGCCTCGTGCGCGAGCCTACTATTGAAGCTGCCGTTACGCTTTTGGCCTGAGGGGGCAATCACGAGCAAAAAAATTCAAAACTCCATAAAGTCCCTTTAAATAACCTCACAGATCCGTAAGGTGGATTTCATAATTCCTATGGAATCCCACACCTTATGGCTCATTAAATAACATGTAATTTAAATCTTTACATTGATTACTGTTCAAGTCAAAGTAGATCATTGCTGTCTGAAGTGATCACAGTGATGTTCAGTGGCATTTATTCTTTTGATTCAAATTCACATGAATCTTGGGGATTTCTGTTTCTTCTTTTGTTTTAAAATCATAAAAATAAACCTGCTGTAACCTGCAATTTTACTGATGAGTCAAAATCTGGGTTTTATGGCTAATCGCTCCCCAGTTCCTCTCTAAAGCCCCTCAAGCTTCAACAGGATGGAAAATGTGGTGGAGAGATGCTGCAGAGTTCCTGAACAGGACCGTCGGTCGGATAAACAGAGTGACTGCCGTTCCGCTTCCAGCCCAAATCCGCCTGTTAGTGTGTGCCAAGCTGACGTTAATAATAGCACGTGGGCCGCTGGGGGGGGGGGGGGGGGGGGGGGTAGTAGTCAGTCAGCAGCCCCAGGGCTTTAGCTGCTCCATGGGAAAGGAAGAGGTTGATGGAGATAAGGATGCTACGGAGGTCCCCCAGGTGCAGAGCTGGGCACTTTGACTTCAGTGAGGAGGTGGTCAACAGGGTGCACCTCGCAGCCCCCAGGTGACCTTTAACCTGCCTTAAACTGTATTATTGTTCTTGTCTGACTGTGTTTTTGGTAGACTTGTTCTATGCTGATGATGGTGTCAGCCTATTTCACAGCAATGTGAGAAACGCGTCACTCTGTTCATGACCAAATGTAAAGAGTTGATGAATTTCATGTGTTTTATGGATTGTTTTTGTAACGTTTGCAGCTGAATCAGGGCTTAGAGAGTTTGTGTGTTAGAATAACATGGTTTCCTGCTCGTCTCAGATTAAGAGATTAGATTTCTGAGTGAAGGATGAGATTTGAGTGATGCAAACACAACCTAGACGTGGCTGGATGTCGTGCATGTGTTTTAATCAGATCCTGCACATTTCATATTAATCCCCGCCTCTGGGGTGGAGGTGTGGGACTTCATGTCTCTGTGTGGTCAGCTAATCCCACGTGTGGCAGACATGTTTCTAATGCAAATGGTTACGTTTCTGTGTATTTGTATTTATTAGAGCATCTGTTTGTCCTCCTGGCATGTCTCATCTTTAAACTTGTTCCCTCCTCTGGTTATAGCTCGACCCCCACCCCCACCCCCCACCCTGTGCACCGACTCGGTGGTGGCAAACAGATGATCTGGCTGCATCTGGATCAGTTATTTAGAGCAACAGAATGCTCCTTGTTTCGTGTGTAAATCACACGTTAAACACTTTCTAGAGCTTGTTGCTTTTACTTGAAACATTCGTGCATTTGCAGGATTCTCGTCTGGTTTTATTCTCTGTTTTTATCCAAATCTACGACAACAAAATCCTGCACTGCTCACAGATTCTGGTTCTAGTTCTGCCGGTTAGAACTCAGAACACATCAAATAAAGTTAAACTGACTTTAAACATTCTTCGTGCGTGCCGGCAAAGGTTGTTTAGCTGTGGCGGCCATCTTGCACTGAAGTGACTAACCAGAAGAAGACGATTCATTCTGAGAGTTTGTTATTTAGATAAGGAACAGAAACAAACCACCGCCTGATGTGTTCCTGTCGCTCGGCAGCGTTCGGCTGTAGTGTTTGGGATTTAGACGCCACGCTGTAGGAATCTCATCCCTCTCGGCTCCTGCTTTCCGGTGTCAACGGAGACTGAATGGAGCAAGAAATAAACCAGAGCAGGTTCAAATCAAACCAGCCCTTCCTCTCTGCTCAGCGTATTTGTTTAACGTGCATGACGAGTCTTTTTGGCTGCAAGTGAATGAGTGAGACATCATTCCAGGATTTATGCAATCATAGTTTTTCCTGGACAGGATTTATGGACACGCTGCACAAGCCTGCAGCGGCTTAGTGAGAGTCTTAGTGCATAATAATGATGATGATGATGATGATGATGAACCAGTTGTTTATGTTTCTTTTCCAGCTTGGAGGTTGAGAATGCCCCCCCTCTGTGCTGCAGCCCCTCAGACCTGCAGGCGTCCCCCGGGTCGGGTCTGGTCCTGCATCCCAACATGGCCAACCACAGCCAGCGCAGAGAGTCCTTCCTCTACCGCTCTGACAGCGACTACGAGCTGTCACCCAAGTCTCTATCTCGAAACTCCTCCATCGTTGGAGAGCTGTGGGTTGTTTTTGTAGCAGCAGCATCTTCGTCCAGCCACAGGTCATCTGTGCTGAACTCTGTTGTGGTTTCCTTCTCATTGCAGACACAGCGAGGACCTGATTGTGACTCCGTTTGCTCAGGTAAGAGCTGGTATCAAGTGTTATTCAGAGCATTTAAAACAACGAAATACAAAGAGATTCTAGAGTTTTACATCGTCACACTGAAACGAACAGATTCCACCAGGTCATTAGTTATTAGAAGCAAACATCTTGAAGCTCTGTGTAAAAAAAACTGAAAGCACCCATCCAGCAGGGGGGTCCAGTCAGCTGTCAGACAGACGGACCTTCTCGTTGTAGAAGGCGAGACTAAAACAGTAAAACCAGTAAAACTCTCGTTACTACAGAGGAGCTCCCACAGGTGATGACATCATCATAAATGCGTCTGATCAGCAGCCCCTGGTTGATGCTGAACCTCGTAAATCCTCTGGAAGCATCAAAGATGGACTTGTTTTCCTTTCACTGACAGATTTTCTTTGTTGTTCGTGTTTAATAAATAAGGACGTGGTGGAATCTGTTGTTTGTTCACTTAAGGCTGGAATAGAACGTCCTGATAAAGGTTCTACAGTAGGATCAGGGAAGACTCAAGAATTCAGAAGTAAGATAACGCTCTGATTTGTTGTGGCCACCAGAGGGCAGTATTGAGTCTGATTGACAAAAAAAAATCAGTCAGGCAGTTAAAGAACAACCTTCAGATCTGAGCTGAAGCCACAACAGAGCAGCTGGATCAGTGTGAACGTGAAGCCGGTTCTGTTCATGTTTTTGCAGAAAGTCATAGAGATGAAGCCGTCTGGTGACTAGACTCAAGTTAAACTGATCCTGACTGCGTTGGCTGATCTTCAGAACCAGACGGCTCTTAAACAGAACCATTAGGTCGTGTTACTGAACAGGCTGACACAAGTAATCCAGCTGAATGAAAGTCCGCACCGGTCCACTAAAGTAGCGTTGGTGCAGAAGCAGTTTATTCAGTGATTTTGTTCCTGGTATCTGAGGGATTCCTTTTCAGCCCGTTTGCTCCTGTTTAGGTTCTGGCGAGCCTTCGGACTGTCAGGAACAACTTCACCACTCTGACCAATGTTCAGTGTGCATCCACTAAGTAAGTCAGCTTTTTCACACGTTTCCCTAGAGAATGGGCCAAGCTGCTGTTTGATCCCTGCATCACAAGACCTGAACGTGTCACCGGGGGGCGCTAGTGCTTCAGAGATATTAGAGAAGTTCTGGCTCATTTCATGTCGGTGGCAACATTTTCACCCAACATCCCCATGGTGGAGCTTGATTTCTGCCTCCTTAGCCGGTGTTTCCTCTCAGATTTGGGTCATCAGGTCAGATAGCAGTGGACACGAGTCAGTGTGACCTCAGAGAAGGGTCACCATGGCTGTGACCGTTTCACAGAAACCCTAGAGCAGCTGTTTCGTGTTACTGCTATGGCAACAGAGACTTTTAACTGAACGCAAATTCACCTGAAGAAAGGAAAAACATCATCGGAGCGCCTGTCGGTATTTATAAACACGTTTTAGAGAAACGCTCCTATTTACGTGATTCACTGAAACACTCGTTGTGTCACTGATGAGCCAAATGCACCGAAACAGACCGTCTGACAGAAAAACGTCTTCTGTAACTCTTTATCCTAGCTGATCCTAGATGGTTCCACGTGTCTTACCGTTGTAATCTAAATGTCGAGACCTCAGCTCATGTTCTTCCACAGCTCAGAAGGTTTTATCTTCAACCTGCTGTTTGTTTATAGTCTATGAAAACGGTGGTCTGTTGTTCTGTTTGGGTAATCGCTGTTCCCGTGGTTTATCTGCTCAGATGAAGCTCTTTATGTGTGTGGGGCCGTATCAGTCCGTGCACTGGTCTTTAGGTCAGTGTGTCTCCAGGACCAGGATGACGGACAATCCTCTCATCTTTGACTGGGACTAGCTCTGTAGTAGCGGCTGTGATTCTTGTTTCAGAGTGCCTTCAGCAGCACCAGACTATCCCAGAGCTGTAGCCTTGACCCGTTCACCTCCTTCTGCAACCTTGCTGGAACACTGTGTCCATTGACCACATACTGGTGGACCACTAGAACCTGCTGAAGGGCGCTGCCACGTTGAGTTCTTTGAACCTGTTGATGCAGAGTCATCGAAGGAAGTGGTTCCCACAGCTGGGGGTTAGAACTGGTTTAGTACAACCGGTTTCCTGCAGGTTAAAGTTTCATTTGGTATTTTCAGGGTCTTGAAATGTTGGATTTTAAAAAAATACTTAATACTGTAACTGAAATATATATATTTGTCAACTTTATTAAAGTGCTTGACACTAAGATACCTTAAGTGTAAAGTATATCAAATTTTAAGTAACACCCACTTATCTTGGCTGAATATTAAGTTATTGTGACTCAAAGTATGTAAGTTATATCAACTTGATTTCAATGTAACAATACTGAGATTTATTGAGTAACCCAACTTCATTAAAGTATGAGTCACTCACATGTAAAAATTTAATACTTACTACAATTAAGTTTTGGTCACTTAAAGGAAATATGTTTCCTCAATATTTTCAAGTAAACTTATCTTGTTAATGTCCACTTATCTTGGCATAGTATTTTTTAAGTTATTGTGACTCAAAGTATTTAAGTTGTGTCAACTTGATTTGAGTTTACGTTTACTGAGTTTTATTACGTTATCTATACTTTTAAACAAGTAAAGCTCACTTGCATATAATAATTTATCAGTATTTTCCACAATTAAGTTTGTTTACTTACTTTTCCCAAGGTAATCAGTTTCCTCAATATTTTCAAGTAAACTTCACTTGTTTGAATTTACAGTGTATGAATAATAACCATTAGTTTTGTAATTTTGAAAGAGCTTGAATAAGACTTTAGTTCATGCGTGAGGACCCTGATAAAAGCTGAAGCTGTTGTGTTCTCATAAAGCCTTTTAGGGATGTTTGCTGGTTAAACCAGAGATATGTGGAGTATTTGTTCATTTGTGGGTCAGAACCTGAAAGGTCTGGGACATGCTGATCTACAGAAACCTGTCACTAATGTGGCTGGGGTCTACAGGTTTGGAGGTTGGCCCATGTCTGATGTCTGCAGCATCCCACCATTATAAGGAAGTCAGAGCAGAGGGTTGGTCAGCTGCTGATAGTCAGTAAGTCTGTAAGTCAGTAGAGGAGGCAGCGCTCAGTATCAGTGTCACATCAGTGTTTAAACACATTCGTGTTACTTTAAAATAATGTTAATGTTAAATCCTCGTTCACGTGATTCATGAATCCATGAATATTTTTTACCTTTATGCTTTAAAGGTTTGGTAATCGGTCACTCTGAGTTTTTCATGCAGGCTGAACATGAAAGTAGTCTCCTGTATTAGCTTCTGATAAAAAATAGATGGTGAAACGCTAGGATTGAAAAATTCTCACATATCTGCATCACATTGTGAATTAGCATTCATGGACTCACCCATCTTGACTCACAGCGGGGAAGGCTGTCGGTTTAACGTCTAGGAATCAGCAGAGAACGTCCTGACTAGTAGAACCTAACCGCTAGCATTAGCAACTTCGCTCCACCAGGCTTGTGTTGTTTGTGGAGATAAAACATCCATGTTGTAAGTCAGTGGGAGAGTCAAATTGCTGCTGGCCAATCCGGGGCAAGATGTCCAAATGTCAGGAAATAAGACTCCAAATTCTGCCGTCTGAAGCTCAGCTGTGATGTCGCTGACTATGCCTGCGTGGACAGGTTTGTGGGCTTTTTTGTGCCCTGAGTTCCGCCTGTAAGGCATTCATTCCTTCTAGAGACCACTGTAAATGTATTGGTTAAATGAGTAATCCACACCTTTAACAATGCTGATCATGGTTATTACTTGAACTTTAAAGGTGTAATTTGCAAGTCTACAGTGAAATAATCACAGAACAGTGTAATGCATCAACCATGTTTAAGAGGAAGGTTAAAACAGATTTCATTCTCAGCGGGCTGGGGCGTTGTCAGTTTTTCTCTTTTAAAAAAATAAAATAAAAGGAAATCAGGACGTAGCTACAGTTTACTCTCTGTGAGATTGTGAGGTTTCCAAATCTGCAGTGAGATGACATTGGAGCAATGGCATTTGTAATTCAACACTGGCAAGAAAAAACTCCAGAGTTGTTTAAAAACCAAAGCCAGTAAATGGGAGCGACCCAGAAGTGATTTCTTGTACCTCTAAGAAGCCGCGGCATCAGTTTGTTTTACTCTAATATCAGAGAGGCTAACGTTGAGCTAACAATGCTAACGGTGAATGAGAAACTAATAATGGGCTCTAAAAATATCTCAAGCTACTTTTTCAATTACCAACTGGATCTTACAGTGGCATTTGTGTGTGAAGTGAATAACGGCCAGTTGTGGTGTTTTACTTCCTGAGTTGTTCAGAACTATAGCAGCAAGCTAACAGCAAGACGGCAAACAACCACACTTCCTATATGTCGGATGCAAACTACCGTAATAAGAGTAGTAAGTGTTCCCTACCGTAAAACACCCAAGAATGCTGACACCAGATATGACAATGCATTAATCTACTTAGCAACTTACTGTGTATGACTCGTCTTCGCGTGTCATCTAGAACAAGGGTGGGGAACCCTGATCCATCATATTTTAGTTTCAACCCTTATTCAACACACCTGATTTCAATCAGCAGGTGATTAACAGGCTTCTGCAGAGCCTGATGAACTGCTGAACAGGTGAAGCAACCACTGAATCAGAAGTGCTGGAGCAAAGACATGCAGGATACCGGCCCTCGAGGACCAGGGTTCCCCACGCCTGCTCTAGAATCTTGTGGTGCTGATCCGTTACTGACAACGGCCATTTAACTCGTGGAACGGGAGTGAGAGTCATCTTTTTTATTTAAAAATGGACTGCAGTAACCACAGTTGACCATGTCATTCTTACAAATTGAACATTTAAAAATAAGTTTTCCAGTCATTGAAATTATGTGACCTGTTAACTCTGATTTATTTCTCTGTTCCAGAAGGTCTCCTGCTGCTAATCAACCCTGCGTCACCAAAGTGTGCCTGTCAGGTGAGACCGCCCTAGAACATCTTAAACCAAAACTTACAAACGTCTCCTTCTCTCTATTACACACTTTGACAAATCATTTTAGTGCCTAACTTGGTGGTGATGAGACCACACAGTAACCTGTCCACCTTGGGTTAGGTTACATTCACTTGACTTTGATGTCTAAATATTTGTAAGTGATGGATTCTCTGAGTGTGTCTGGAGTAAATGTTAATAAGTGAGCCATAACATCACTAGAAAAGACGGTCTCTTCTTTAGTTCCAATCCTGACTTCCTGATCTGTGACCAGTCGGGGATTTAAGGAACAGCTTTACGAAAAAACAGAAAGAATTGGGCTTTTTGTGGATCAGGTTTTCTTCGGTCCTTCCATGTAAAAGTCAAGAGTCTTTCTAACATCAGTGTCAGATCTGATTGGGTCGTGTGGGGGAGGCGACAGTTGTGCAAACCTTACACTAATGTCTCTGATTATTATAAGTCTCTGCACCAGACAGTCACTGCCATAAGTCGTCTCACGTTTCTCGCACTTTTGGACACAGAAACCAAATCGAGACGAGTTCCAGACGAGTTCCAGTCACTCAGGATGATTCTGCAACTATTCCAAGAGGATATTTGTGTGTTTGAACATGATCTAAAACCCAGTCATATAACAGCGAGGTCCTGCAAAATTGATAACCCTCACAAACTTTTCCAAACATTTGGAAACTCCTTTGAGAATTTTCACAATCAGAAGTTGTCTCCAAGATGTCTAAAATAAACTGCAAGGGTTTTTAAGCTTCTTACCTGACCCACTGGGTCCTGCTCTAGTGTTATTAACGGGGCATTATGGAAGTGTGACAGCCAAAACATGTAGAGAAATAATAAATGTCTTCTTCATACATTCTCCTGCAATGCCCTGGTCCTGTAGAATGAGCCCTGGCATTTTTACTGTGATTGCCTGTTTTTCTGTAAAATCACAGAAAAAGAGAGATGCTCGGGTCGAGCAGGCTGCTTCATGCGCGTTCACGCTCAGGCATCGCCCGTAGCATTTGCTATCCGTAGCTTTAGCAGCAGAGAGAGAGGCAGTGCCACTTTGTCGCTGTTCCTAACGCCTAGTGACAAAGCTAGCTACATTTCTGAGGACCCTTAGCTACTTTCTGTAGAACTTTCTTCTAGATATTTCCTGCAAATTAGCAACAAAATAGCCATTTTCACTCCGAACCGTTCTTTGAACGTTGTTTCAGCTGTCATCAAGGATATAAATGTTACAGATACAAATGACATCACTGGTGCTTTAACTCACCTAGTAAGATGTTGGACTCTCGTGCAGAAGACCTGGGTTTGATTCTGGATGTGAACATAGTTTATTTAGAGTTTCTTTTTTACATTAATGGTATATTTTTTTACAGTAAGACGCCCAAATTTTTATTTGAGACTCGCCGAACGGCATTGAATTCACAGATAAAAAAGATGTGGGTTCAACTTTCATTTTGGAACAAATTTTCAAGCAAGGGAAGGGAATGATCTGAGCATGCAGGAGGACTGACCCATCATAAACCTTTGTCGGCTGTGCTGAAGAGAAAGCTACAGAACCAAATTATTTAATTAATTAGCTGCGCGTTCTCCTGTCCTCTGTCCTCCGGGCCACACACACACACACACACACACACACACCTGCACACACACACGCACACCTGCACACACACACACACACACACACACACACACACACACACACACACACACACACACACACACACCTGCACACACACACGCACACCTGCACACACACACACACACACACACACACACACACACACACACACACACACACACACACACACACACACACACACACACACACACACACACACACACACACACACACATTTCACTTCCACCAGCTGCTCTTCTTTAAAACTTTACATTTAGTGAAACAATAATTGACTCCATTAAAATATCCTCAATAGAAGGACGGAAGGAAGGTGTGTGAGAGCTGCAAAGATATGAAGCAGTTTGAGTTTAATTATTGAAACAGGAAATTGGGTGACGGGGTGGATTTTAGTTCCTGCTGTTCTGGTTCTTCTACTGGTTTGACGTCAGCGTTGCCTTCACATGGGTGCTCTCCTCTTCCCATCAGCACAAGTCACACACAACTGCAAGTGTCTTGATTTCCTTTGACTCCTCCACACATCTCAAACCTTGACCTTCTCTCCAAGTAACCACTGACGAATGAAACGTCTCCTTCTGACGCACTGAGGAGATAAAAGGAAAAAAACAAATATCAAATGTTTTATTTTACATTTGACTTATCTGTGAGCAGCAGCAGAACATGGCCTCACCTGCTGCTGAATGGTCAGGTGATTCAGGAGAAGGCTTTTAACTAGATCACAATGAGAGAAGTCATCATATCCTCCCTCAGGCTCAGTTTGACTCAACGTTTTGGACAGGAAAGGGAGAACAGACTTTTCCTGTTTTGCTTCTTTTGTATTTTCATTTCCTGCTAATGGAAACGGTGCAGAACCTCCATACTTCTGGAGGAAAACTCATGAATACCTGCCTACTGGAGCTGAAACCAGTGAAACTGGCTAGGCGTCATCAGATTGTTCGTCTGCTCAAGCAGCGCTCGAGGTTCGCCCGATAAACCTGCAGCCAGTGTGTTCAAAGGCTTAGGGGACTTCAAACGGATGGGGGGTGGGGGGTTATAATAAAAATCTGCTCAGCAGAAATGTGTCACTGCAGCTTTTACTTAACGGGAGGGGACTGGTGTGTGTGTGCGTGCGTGCGTGTGTGTGTGTGTGTGTGTGTGTGTGTGTGTGTGTGTGTGTGTGTGTGTGAAGGTGTGTGCGTGTGTGAAGGTGTGTGCGTGTGTGTGTGTGCGTGTGCAGGTGTGTGTGTGTGCGTGTGTTAGTGTGCACTTGTGTGCGTGTGCAGGTGTGTGTGTGTGCATGTGTGCAGAGGTGCGTGTGTGTGTGCGTGTGTTTGTGTGCGTGTGTGCAGGTGTGTGTGTGTGTGTGTGCAGGTGTGCATGTGTGTGTGTGTGCGTGTGCAGGTGTATGTGTGTGTGCGTGTGTGCCGGTGTGTGTGTGTGCGTGTGTGCAGGTGTGTGTGTGTGTGCGTGTGCTGATGTGTGTGTGTGTGCGTGTGTGTGTCAGTGTGCACGTGTGTGCGCGTGCAGGTGTGTGTGTGTGCATGTGTGCAGAGGTGCGTGTGTGTGTGTGCGTGTGTTTGTGTGCAGGTGTATGTGTGTGTGCGTGTGTGCAGGTGTGTGTGTGCGTGTGTGCAGGTGTGTGTGTGTGTGTGTGCAGGTTTGTGCGCAGGTGTGTGTGTGTGTGTACCTGTCTATACACCAAAGTGAGGACTAATGACAAGTTTTACCTGTAAACTAAGTACTTCAGTACCAAAAGAGGTTACAGAAGTCTACTCGTTTGTTTTAAAGGTTTGGTGTGAATTATGTTTTAGTTAAGGTTAGGGTAGGGATAGACTGGTTAGGGTTAGGCACAGTCCAGTCATTAAAATAATGGAAATCAATAACGGTCTTCACAGCAAATGCTAGACGAGAATGTGTGTGTAATTGCGGATGTGTGTGCGTGCATGTGTGTGTAGCTCACGCTCCACTAACCTGAGTGGCTCCATCACACACAAACTCGTGAGCGTGAGGCCAACAAAGAGCTGAGTCTCCCCTGACTGATTCAGATTAGAGACGCTGCTTTAATTACCCCTGACTAATTGTGCTTGAGTGGAAAATGCCTGATGTTGACGTCTGAAACGGTCAGGGTTTGCTCATTAACTTGTAACGAGTACCCGCTGAGCTGGGTTTAGGCTTAAGGAAGTTTTAGAAAAGAGGAAGATGACCGATATGGAGGAATAATTAAAAATAACGTTTAAATTAATGTTGACATTTTACCTTCAGAACCACCTTAAGTCTTCATTCAGACACAAGAGCTTGCTTACGTGGATTGCTGTAAAGTCGGTGACGTGATGCAACCTGTTGGGTTTAGATAGGAACCCTTTAATCGCCATAATGAACTGAACTCAGTGCAGTAATAATTCGGTTCAGTTGGAATGTGTTGTGGTTTGTTCTAAATAAACTGAATTGAATTGAATAATAATTGGGGCGATGATGGCACAGGAGTTAATTGCTCGCCCCGTAATAGGAAGGTTGCAGGTTCGAGCCCCGCTCAGTCTGTCCCTGTCGTTGTGTCCTTGGGCAAGACACTTAACCCACGTTGCCTGCTGGTGGTGGTCGGAGGGACCGGTGGCGCCAGTGCTCGGCAGCCTCGCCTCTGTCAGTGCGCCCCAGGGCAGCTGTGGCTACATCGTAGCTCATCCCAAACCAGTGTGTGAATGTGTGTGTGAATGGGTGAATGACTGATTGTGTTGTAAAGCGCCTTGGGGGGTTCCAGGACTCTAGAAGGCGCTATATCAAATACAGGCCATTTACCATTTACCGATAAGTTAGAGGTTCTGGTCCATCACACATAATAAATGTCCTGATAATAACTAAATGTGATATTTCCCTGTTTGTAAAAAGGTAAATGGTCTGTATTTGTATAGCGCCTTATAAAGCTTGGTTTATGCTTGACGCATTCACTTTCCGCTTGGTGATGCGGCTCACGGATGGAACGCGCTTCACAGCTCGCAGCGTTTATGGTTCATGCGGCTCGTCTCTGCGGTGAGCCAATATTCTCCCAAACTGTAGGGGGCAGCATGGAGCTCTACAGCATGCATCCAACACTACACCATAGTAGAAGTAGAAATTACTGTTTACAACATGGCATTCCAGCATTTTTAACAGCGTCCTCGTCTTTTCCGACAGTGCGAGCTATTTCTCTCCAAGAATTATTAACAACATGTTGATCACGGTGATCTCTGAGAGCTGAATCATACAAATGTCTGTATTTACGAACCTCTGCCATACTAGTTCTTGCCGGTCCGCCATGTTTTTCCGCGTCCGACCGTCCGCGTGGTTAGAAATTTTCCGAGGTGCGCGTTGCGGAAATCTTGGGCCGTGCGGAGACGCGGTG